GGGTGGGGGGGGGGACAGCCATGCTGCAATCCCTTCTCCTCAATTCTCTTCTTGGGATTTTGGGTACATATGCACACACACCTGGAGTGATTTTCATGCTGCTGGTTCTGGGGGAACTCTTCCATGTGGACTCCCACACCTTAACTACCATCCTACCTTCTAGCCTGAGTTCCTGGGATATTTAATAGTCTACTTCCCGACTTTCTGACCCCAAATCCTGGGGTTCTAATCAAACACAGTAACTTAGAATGTACAACCATTCAGAGCTCGTTTTACATTACAAAGAGTTTACTTCTTTTTTTTTTTAATTTCTTTTAAAATATCAGAGGGCACATGTGATCACCAGAGAGAAACAAGAGAGAAGGGGAGAAAGCACCCCTCAGCAAGGCACGGTCATGCCACAATCCCTCTGCATCTCTCACTCCTGTAGGAATCTGAGGCTTGCACACACTTGCACTAGCGTATTTTTCAGGCTGCTGGACTGGGACTCAACCATGATCAGTCATGTGAGATCTGGCTTCCTTCACTACTAGGCCATGGGGCTGGCCCAAGGAGTTTCATTTAATAGTCTACTTCTGCTTGAAGGAATTTCCTTTTGCATTTCGTTTGCATGGAAACCAATTTCTACCTTTCACACCTCTTAAGCTGCTTACCTACCTTGAGATGAGGTCAGGAGGCTGTGGTTCTGGAGGGATGTATTTGTCACCTGGGTAGTAAGCCATCCTCTCTGAGTACTCCTGGTCTGATTGTTTACAGTAATCACAATCATCTGCATTTTTAAAGAATTATTTACTTACTTAATTATATTTGTTATTATTGTTGGTTTGTTTTTTGTTTGTTTGTTTGTTTGGTTGGTTGGTTTTTGCTTTTTTTTTTTTTACTACTTTTACCAGAGAGAGGGAGAGGGAAAGTGAGAAAGCAAGTTGCCAGGTCCAAGACTAGAACCACAGTTGACCATGTGGGAGTCCAGTGCCTTAACTACCATGCAGGCTTCCCCATCTGTACTGTTTTTATTGACTAGAAAAAGGGACACTTTGTTTGGTTTGCAGTAAAGGCTTATGCACTGACACCACTGGCACAAAGAGTACTAATTTTGGAAACAGTTTTGGAAAATGAACAATAATAACTTCTCATACTGAAGAGTAATTAAAGGGAAATCCTTTGCTAAGTAGTGTGATCATCACTAACAACGGGGTGGGGGGAGGGACTGGCAGGTGGCATGGTGGTTAAGGTGTTGGATTTCCACAGGGCCAACCGCGGTTCAAGTCCTGGACCTGGTGGCCTTTTCACTTTCCCCTTCTCTCACTCTCTCTCTCTGTCTCTTTGGTCAAATTTAAATAAATAAATAAATAATAATAACAAATAAAATTAAGTAAATATTTTTTTTTAAATAATCACTAACAATCATCACTGAAGGAATTATATGCATGTGAGTAAGAATCTGTGCTGTGGTATGTGACTGGCTACTCTTTGGGGAGTTACAGGAAGCCCATAAAATGTCTTCCATTTGAAATAAATGGAAATTATGTTTCCAAACAGTGAAAGAATAACAGTCCTGGGGTTCTTGCTGCATTTAACAAATGCAAAACTAGTTGTATCTGGGTATTGATGGTGGCACCCAACAGGGAGAATAGCAAGAAAAAGGCCCAGAGACAGTCAACACCTGTGACTAAAGTGAGATAAGCCAGTGGGGAAAGTGAAAGAGATACAACCATGAAAGCTGCAAAGGCCAAACCACACTGCTGACCACAGGGAGGCGTTGGGGCTTTATCAGAGCTGGGAATCATTGCAATTTTGGAGAGACAGGAAATGTGATTTTTTTTTTTTTTAAGTAAGCTTTTTAATTTTTTTGCACGCACATGTGTGTGTGTGTTTAGGTTTATGCTGTCAGGCATGCACTCTCACTGGAGAGAAACAGAGAAGGGTAGTGAGAAGGAAAGTGATAATTCTCCCCTCAGAAGAGATGGCCATGCCACAAACCCTTCTCCTCTATTTTTTTTTTTTTTCTGGGATTCTGGGCATGCACACACACCCAACTTTTTTTTAAGAATTATTTTATTTAAATTTATTTTTATTTTATTTATCTATCTATTTAAATTTCACCAGAGAGGGACAAAAGGAGAGAGGGAGAGAGAGAGAGGGAAAGCAAGAAAGCATGCCACCACGTCCAGGACTTGAACTATGGTTGGCCATGTGGGAGTCCAACACCCTTAACCACCATGCCACTGCCAGCCCACCCAACATGATTTTTAAGCCACCAGGTCCAGGTGTACCATGTGGGAGTCCAGCGCAGTAACCACTAAACTATCTGCTGGACCCCAAAGCTTTTTGGTTTTTTTTTTTTTTTTTCATTGCCAGAGGACACATGCACTTGCCAGAGAAAAAATCACCCCCCCATGGGGTCGTGGTCATGTCACAGTCTCTTCTCCATTTCTCCATCCCATCAGGATGTGGAGCATGCACACGCATGTGTCCAGCATGTTTCTCATGCTGTTGGGACTGGGATTCAAACTGTAGATAGCCACGTAGGATCTGGCTTCCTATGCACTATGCTTAACCACTGCAAAATTGGTGCTGGTCCAAGCTGTGATTTAATTTACATATGAAGTCTACTCCTACTCTGAAAGACAGTCTATAATGGGCAAGAACAAAAGCAGAGACAGATCCGAAGATGGACCAGAAGAATCAATCTCATAGTACCCAAACTGTCTCACAGACAGTCATGTACATGCTGCATACTGGCCATCCTCACTGTCTCAAGAGACCTCAAGCTTCGCACTAGGTATTAGAGTTCAAGTTTGTACTTAAAAACAAAGAAACAGATGGTATGCACAAGAAAGCATTTAAAAAGAAATCTAACAAGGAGCTTCTCTCTATGCAAAAAAAAAAAATGTCCAAAGAGAAAAGTCAGTTTGCAAAACACAGAGGACAAGACATCGGTGGGTTGGGATTCTGGGCGTACCTGCGAGGATCCCATCCATCTGCTCCAGGGCAGCTTCCAGCGCGTGACTGGCATCGGAAGCCATGACTCTTTTTGCCTGCTTAGTCTCCTCCTCTTCTTACTGCAAGTCCAAATACAGAACAAAGGAACATTACAGGTTCCACATTATGCACACAAGGTCACAAAGCCCTTCCGCTCCCCCATCACACAGGCACTTTCTTAAGAATCCAAGCATCCCGTGTGTGGTTTCTGACGTCTCTAAGCCTCTCCCTCCTGGCTTGAGTGCTACTTGTCCATAAACCTTTAGTACACGACCCCATTCACTTCTGTAATGAAAAGCCACCAGGACACAGCAGTCACCTCTAGCAGGAAGACGGTAACTGTCACTCCTCGCCCACGATCACTGTCCCAGCTTCAGTCGCTCCAGCCAGCACTGGCAGGGGAAAGTCGCTCACGTGAGGAGAACCATGTCAAGTGCACACGGGCTGCCAGAGCAGGGAGAGGCACAGTCAGGGTTGGCACTTAACTGTCTCATATCTGCAACTGCCACACCTGTAATGCTGCCTTGGCAGGGTGATCCAAGCTGAGAGGCCGCCATTCCCACTTTCAGTTGTCTAGATGGGCCAGTGTAGCACCCAGGAAGGCCAGGCCCTCCGTGATGTGGACAGAATCCTGTTTGAGAACACTGCCTTAGACCACTTCAGATCCACTCTGCCCAGCACCTCTTGGGGCGCAGAATCCCATCCTCTGCAGGATAAAGAGAATCTCCAAGGGTACATGGTGCAACCCCTCCCTGAGTGCAGACCTCTCCTCTAAGTTCCCATCCGATCTTGATGGGAACTGCCCACCCATACCCGGAGCAACTGCTTCCATGTCTGGACAATTCTGCCCCTTCAAGTTAAACTGTGTCCCTGCAGCCTCCTCTTTTTTTTAATAGAGGTTGTTTCTTAGGGCATGTACACTTGCTGGAGAGAGAGAGACTGAGACAGTGAGAGAGAAAGTGAGAAACCCCCCCCCCACCCAGCGGGGGATGGCCATGCCGCAATCCCTTCTCCTCCATTCCTCCCAGGATCTTGGTCACGCACACACAAGTGCCCAGTGTGAGTTTCAAGCCACCAGGTTCAGATTCAAACCACAGTCTGCTATGTGTCCAGTGACATAACCCTATGCCATCTGCTAGTCCCACCCCTCCCCCTCTCATTTTTATTATTATTACTTGGTTTTGCTTCCCACCTCCTCCCTGAATAGCAAAGAGAGACTTGCAACAGCATTTGTAATCCTTAGAAGAGACTTAGCTCCTGTCTGTCAACTGGGACTAGCAGTCAATGTTGTTGGCTCATTCAGGAGAATAGAGCCTACTGGGCGGCGTAAGTGTGAGGGGGACAGAGGTGTGGCTCCCACACCCAAGCACCCAAGCTTAGGAAACAGAAGGTTCCTGAGGTTTCTGCTCATCTTCCCATGAAGTTGGATGTTGGGCGTAAACAGAGAGAAATGGGGACCACCCAGGGGTGCTTTGGAGATGGTGTAGATAAGGATTTCAGGAGCATAAAGAAATAGCAGATGGCATCAGGCAGTCACTGTTAAATTTACAGGATAGCCTGAGTTCAGACCCAGCCCTGCCATTCAATGTGAGATCCCTGCACCTCAGTTTTGTTATCTGTAAAATAGGTACAACAGTATCTAACTCATGGGACTGGTGTTGTAAATTAGGGGTTCAGATATCAGAGAGTGCTAAGTACATTCCCTTGCATATGGTTAGCGCTCAGTATATGTTAACTACTCGTAGGTTGGTTGTTTTTGCTTTTTGTTTTTCTGGTTTGTTTCTTTTTTAAGTAAGGAGAAAAATCTTAGGACATATTTTTGGTCAGGACAGTTCACCAGATGAGACTTGAAACACAATTAGCAGGGACTCAGAGAAGAACCCACATAGGCTCATGAGGCTGGCTCATTTGGAGGAGTTGGGCAAAGCAAAGGAAGACAAGCAACACTCTGCGTGGAGGGGCGAGGGCAGCAATTCACAGGTGCAGGGGCCAAGAAGGTTCACAGAGGGGTAGGGGAGCCTCCCTAGCACCTCCAACAGGAGCCAGACAAGGCTGCAATGAGGTCAGGACCCATGGTTGGAAGGGCAGGCCAGGCTGCCACGGGGTGAACAGGGCATGCACATGTCAGGGTCTGAACAGAAGCACACTGTGGACCGGGAAAGGAAGAGGGAGCAGGAAAAGGAAAGGTAACAGACGAAGGGCAATAATCAACAGAGTCTCCTTTCAGCCAGCAGGGATATTAAAGTTTGAAGGAAGTCCCTCCAAGAAATTCCCAGTGTTCTTGGGGAAGAACTGCAAACTCCTCATGGTGACACAGGAAAGAGGAGCTGCAGGATCTGGCCAGGCCAGCCCACGTGGCTCTCCCGTGGCTCCTTAAGTGGAGCAGCGCTGGTCTCCTGTCTGCTCCCTGAGCACCCCAGGACCTCTGCCTCCTCTGCAAGTTGACACCTGCTCTCCCAAGGCCCACAGCTCACTCCCTAGCATTTTGCATGGCTGATTTATTCCCACCCTTCAGGTTTCAGCTCCAAGTATCTTCTCAGAAAGGCCTTTCCTGCACACCCCCAATCTAAAGCAGTGTCTTCAAAGCACAGCAGCACTTCCAGAGTATCTTATGCATACATGTATGTTTCCTTATCAACTGGTCACTTTCTCGATGAAGGCAGGCAGACCCTACCTGCCTTTTCACCCCTGTGTTCCCAAGCCTGGCAGAATGCCTAGTACAAGGGAAGTTAATGAGTAAATATGAATAAATGGATGGAGCTGTACAGCCAATATCCTCTGGCTCCCTGCTGCGCTGGACACTGGGGGGACATTGATAAATCAGACCTGGTCTCTGCCCCCATGGACCACAAGGTCTAACAAAGAAGACAGAACATGAGCAAATAATGCCGATACAGTCAGGTGTGCTAATACAGGGAGGTTCCCTGGGTTTTGAAGGATGAGTAGGAGTTTTCTCAGAAGATAAGAAGAGTGCTGATCCAGGAAGAGGGAGTGATGCATGAAAGGCAGGGAAGCAGGTGAGGGCAGGAGGTGGTTGGCAAGGTCAAGATGGTTGATGGATACGTGAGAGCATCCAGCCGATCAAGATGAGTCAAAACGTTCCACGGAATTCACATAAGCAGGAGAAGCACAGTTAACAAGAGGAGCTTGGGAATCACACCCACTTCTTCAGGGTTCTGATACCAGGGCATGACAGATCAATCAGCTATAATAAACATGAAGGGTTTTATAAAGAAGGCTCTCATATTTCACAGACTGGGCCCATTGATGAGCCGTGACTGGCCCCACTTGGGGCCTAAGCACCAGGATGAAAAGTGGGAGGGCAGTTAGGGACTGCCAAGCCCAGAGGGCCCAGGCTCAGAACCCCCACAGAAGGCGGCCCATGGGCCCTCTGCCCAGCGATGAGTTTGTGCTTGGCAAACAGCTGGCTGGGTGGAGCCATGGGAGCTGGCCTGAAGTGAAACATGAGTCAAAGGTGTGTCCTCTTCACAGCCCAGGAGCCCAGGGCCAGTGAAGCTGAGTGAGCTCAGGACCAGGAACCTGCTCTGGGCAGAGCTGCTGAGCTCAGTTCTAGACCTGCCAGGTCTGAGGTACGCAGGACACCAGGTAAGGATGGGTCCCTGCCAGCTCTGACTCAGGGCAGCTGTGAGGCATCAGTGGTGTTGGGTGTGAAAGGGCCAATGTGGCACATGTGTCAGGCCTCCTGACCGTTTGTGAACATGGATTATCCTGTGGAATCAGGGAAGTCATGTGGTCACTAGCCATTCTCATTCAGGCAGCTCACAGCTATTTTCTTCCCTCACACAGACTAGGCCAGAGGTTCCTGTGTAATGAAACATACAACGGGATTAAACCCTGCCCTCAAGGAACCTGGGGTTTAAGAGAAAAATAAAACAACATCTCTTCTACTCTCACACTTCTGACATCAAATATGTGTTTTTTTCGATATACTATACTATATAAATTATTTAATTCCACTTGTTATTATTAGTTTTTAATTTGATGAGAGAGAGAAACACACATACACACACACACACACAGACACACACACACACACAGACACACACACACACACAGACACACACACACACACAGAAAGGGAAAGCAAGAAAACAAGCCACCTGGTCCAGGACCTGAACTGCAGCCATCCCTGTGGGAATCCAGCGCCCTCAACCACCACACCAACTACCACCCCCTCCGATATACTTTTGAAAAGGATTACTCTGGGGAACCAGCAGTTAGCGTAATGGCTATGTCGCTGGACTCCCACGTAGTCGACTGTGGTTTGCATCCCAGACCCGGTGACTTAAAACTCACGCCAGGCGCGTGTGCGTGCGTGCCCAAGATCCCGAGAGGAGAATGGAGGAGAAGGGATTGCGATGTGACCATCCCCCCTGGGGGGTGATTTCTCGCTTTCTGTCTCTATGTCTCTCTCTGTCTGTCTGGCGAGCGCACATGCCCTATAGCGAAAACCTCTCCAAAAAAAAAAAAAAAGGATTACTCTGGTTGTGGCTTGGAAATGAGCCCACAGGAGACAGCGGTGAACAGAAGAAAACCAGGGTGAGAGAAAGGTGGCTTGGACCAGATCATGGAAGATGTCCATGGCAGGTGCAAAGCCGGTAAAGGAGTCCAGTAGTCTGAACATGGGCAAAGGAGAGAGGAGGCAGCATGCCTGTGAGGATTTTGCCCTGAGTCCCTGGGAGGATGTGGCACCTGCAGGAGAAATACTGTGGGGTGTGAGGGTGAATCAAGAGACTGGTTTACGAAATGTTCGGGACACCTAAAGACACCCAGAAAGATAAGCTGAGTAGCCATTTGGAGATAAGAATCTATTAGTCTGATATTCAGAAGAAAGTCTGGGTTGGGGCTGTTGGGAGTCACCTGCATGAAGATGGTATTGAAAGCAATAGCTGGGGGCCAGCAGGTGGCGTGGTGGTTAAGGCGCTGGAATTCCCATATGGCTGTTCGTAGTTAAGAGTCCTAGACCCGGGGCTGGCAGGTGGCGTGATGGTTAAGGGCGTTGGACTCCCACATGGCTGACTGTGGTTCAAGTACTGGACCTGGCAGCTTGCTCTCTCACTTTCTCTCTCTCTCTTGTTGTGTCCCTCTCTGGTCAACTTAAAATGAGTAAATAAATAAAGTTAAATAAAATAATGTTAAAAAAAAAAGGAGGCCTGGACCTGGTGGCGCTCTCTCTCTCTCTCTCTCTCTCTCTCTGTCTTTATCTGGCAAAACTCATGTGAAATAATAATAATAATAACAAATAAATAAATTAAAGAAATAATTCTTTAAAAAGAAAGGAATAAAGAAAGCAATAGCATGAATGACCTAAGAAGTGATAGAGCCAAGGACCAGTTAAGGGAGCCAGATCCCACATGACCAACCATGGTTTAAATCCCAGATCCAGCAGCTTGGAAAACACGCCAGGTGCATGTTTATGCATG